GCAGCCCGCAGTGTGTGGGCTGCTGGGCTGGCTGTGGAGCAGAGAGCTCTAAGGCAAGCTGACAGCAGACAGAGGAGGCCCCTTTGAGTCTTGGATAACCCTGTTACGTCAGCCTTGCACAACCTGGCCCCGCTTCACCTACTTGGACTGCATCTGAGAGCGCTGACAGAGGAGAGCGAGGCCCGCAAGCCCTCAGATAGCCACCGCAGGCGTTGCAGCACTGGCGGGGTGGGGGTGAGGGCGGGGGAGTGACAGTCTGGCTCTTTCCTGCTCAGGTACGATGCACCCAGAGGGACGTCGGGTGAGGAAACCAACCCCGAGGCGCATCCATTCTTCGGATAGGACGCCAACACAGGAGGACAGTCACATCCTCTGTGTTCCATGTAAAGGGCACTCAGAGAGGAACAAGAAGGGACAGAGGCAGACTGAAATGGGGGTCACGGGAGGGGCAGTGCAGCTGAGCGAGCTTTCGGCTTGTTCAATTCTGGGGCCGAAGCAGACTGGTGTGGGGGGGTTGAGATTGGGGAAGGGGGCTGGCTAAAAGGAGCGAGACAGGACGTTCCTGGGACGCAGGACTCTGAAACTTTAATGTGTGTCTGCCTGCTTGTGTCTGCACTTCTGAGCCTGGCAGGTCTTTTAATACCTGGCTTTCGGAGACGTCAAACTCCTTTTTCATCCGGTTCCCTGTCAGCCTCGTTCACGCTATCTTTACCCTTCAGTCCATTTCAGGATCAGATGAATAGGAGATAGAAGACCTGCACCAGATCTTGTGTGTAATAGTTTTGGGAGGCAGTTAGCGGACCAAGTAATTCCTAACCAGGTGTATGACAAAAATTGTTTTAAAATCTGGACAAAATATGTGCATATCTGCAAAATACGTGCTCTTAATATGTTATTTTTCAATGCATGTTTAAAAGAGCCACTAGCTTAACCCAACAACAAAATAGGCACGTTCTGAAATGTTATTTTCCCCCAGGATCTCTTGCATAAAAATAACATTCAAGGAGAGAAGACTAATTTTGCACATTTTTTTTTCTCACAAAATCAACTCACTCAAAATGTTCATATTATTGAGATACTATGTTCGTTCTACATGTCATTCCGAATCGGCAAAAATTATTCGGCCTACTCATGCTGTAAAATAAGGCAGTGTAAGATTGTAGTGTTGACTGATTGTATTACAACTTGAAACAACAGCAGATCCCTGCAGTCCGGCACCCGCAGATTTGCATATTTATTTTTTTATTAACTTAATTTTCGAATATTTTGTACTTCTGGGCTTTTTTTCCTCCATTTCTCGTCGAACATGTATACTGAATTCTGTTTTTGGGGTTTAAAAAAGCCCAACGCTGGCATAGAGGAAAGTGTGTGTTTGTAGTGAATCTCATCTAATGGGAATTTGGTTCACATACGTGGTAATGAGAAAAACTGCTCGACTAAAAGTCATTGCTGTTGAACATACGAGTTGAAGTTTAGATAGTAATTTTGACCAACTCTGACATTTTATCATTTCAAATTTTACCAAATTCATCCTGAGTGTCCGAAGTGACACAAATATTTCAGAGTACAATAAATGAGCGCTTCCCCTCAGTGGGACACTTCAGTTTGGCTCACCACACAATGGTAAAACATGACCCGCGTTTTCATAGCTTATGTGGATGGGATGACGATCGCGTTGTAATTTACACAGCCTTTTCGTCATTTATCTCCCTTTTATAAGTCATTGTTCTGTATAAATGGCATGTTTTGCCAATAATGCCCCCTTGGTGGTAATAACAGGTGTGAATGTGCCGAGCGATGCCGGTGTAATGGGAATGGCGAATGCACGGACGTCATGACAGGTCTTAAGTTTCACACAGCCTGTTGCGTTTAAGCTTCTGGAACGTCTGTCGCAGCTACGTCGTTGGATCACTGCTTAAAAGAGACGACAGTGTAACAAGAACAATGTTGTCCATCGTAAACAAAGGGGCAACAATCTCGTTTCTCTGTCAACTACTGAAAGGTTACTTTAAGGCCTTTTGGTACTGTACCAACTGGAGTGTTCCCTGAACTCGCATGGAATTATTTTTTCATTGCCGTGTAGCATAAGAGACTTACTTGGTGGAGGCAGAGCTTAATGGAAGTGCTCTGCGCGAACTACAGAGATGTTTTCGTGTTAAATCCAGTCCACCTGAAATGTTTTTTTTGTGTGTGTGTGTGTATAAGAATGATGTCGGCGGCAGGTTTTCACATGCTGCCCGTCAGTGGAGGAGCGCTGGCTTGAACGACTGTGCAGCTGACATCACAGTCTATCTATTTTTCATAGCCAACATCTGCTTGGCTTGCTACAGTGTCATTACAATTTGCATCAGCTCAACAGATTTCTTGCATAAATGTGAGACGTTGAAGGTGACTACAGTGGTATGCAAAAAAAAAAAAAAGGGGGTTTCATTAAATGTGCTCAAGGACGGCATCCTTCATGTTGACATAAAACAATATTTGGCATAAATTGCTTTCTCTCGATAAAAAAAAAAAAAAAATCAATTTATGTTTCGGCTAGAAAAGCAATTTTCTTTTCAATTGTAAAAATCATTTGCATTTTTTGCCAACAGACAGCTGGCTTTAAAAAAAAAAATCGTCATCTCATCTTTTGATCTAGTCATGAGTGGTTTTACAACCTCCTGCCCCTTCTCTAGAAAGTGTTACAACTGCAAAAGGCAGCACGGTCCACACACTTAATTCAAACAATGACACGCTTTTTATGACATATTTGCATTAAGGGTAAACTGAAAGACAGCCCATCCACAGGTGAATGCCTGCGGCTTATATTGCGTGGGCTGCGTGTAAGGTAGCGTTAAATAAAAGATTAACCTCCGTTTCCCTGGTGTGTTATGAGAACACTAGCAGCAGGTAAGCAGGCAGGGCAAGTGCGGGGAGCAAGCCAGACACCCAGAGGTAGCTTTTCAAACGCTTCAAGTCAGCCAGTGTGACAGGTGGAGCTCAAGTCTCCGTCTAGCCAGGCCTCACACCACGCTGTCATCCTCAGACCTGACAGTGGCTCGTAAAGAGGAAGCCGCGACCACATGCGAGCGTGTGCTCGCACCTTGTCAGTGAGCTTCCACATTTCACTCAAGATGCTCGGCGACAGATCGAGAGATGCGAGTCAATGAAGGAATAAACACTCATTGGACACGTCCTGTCATTAGGTAGGCCAGAGTCGTCTTATGATGAGCTGTGTCACGCACCTGCCTCAAAGTGTGAACTGTGTCTTTATATTTGCATAAATGTGTTTATTATGTGATGACTATTTCTTTTGTGCATACAGGCGGTTCGTAAGGCCAGCCGCGTACTGAGCGAAAAAAAAAAAAAGACAGTTGACGACTCACACCATGTTGCAGTGGAAAACCTGCGACCCTGTATCGGGTTATGAAGCTCTACATGCAGTATGCGCCACAGTATTATTTTTGGATTCAACCAAGAAACATGGCCGTTTGTCAAGGAAGATGCAGACTGCCAGAAAGGGATTTTGAGAGGATCCAGGCAATGATTGATCGCCCCATTCGCTCAGGTACATTTTCGATTGCTATCTGACTCCTATTACGTTGCAGCCCTGTTCACCAGCGCTTCAAATTGCGAGTTGCACCAAATCTAGTTGTCAACAGTCAGCCATGAGTTGCCATGCCCGTCATATTGCATGTGACAGTTCAGTCTGGTACGTAAGCGTTCTGCAAAACCTATCCATTTTCCGATCCGCTTTATCCTCATAAGGGTCGCGGGGGTGCTGGAGCTTATCCCAGCCATCTTCGGGCAGTAGGCGGGGGGACACCCTGAACCGGTTGCCAGCCAATCACAGGGCACACAGAGACAAATAAGCATCCAAGCTCACACTCACACCAAGGGACAATTTAGAGTGCTCCATTAAACCTGCCGTGCATGTTTTTGGAATGTGGGAGGAAACCGGAGTACCCGGGGAAAACCCACGCAGGCCCGGGGAGAACATGCAAACTCCCCACGACCTCTGCACTGTGAGGTCGACGCGCTAACCACTGGACCACCGGGCCGCCGCCTATGCAAAAACTACATAACTAATTTGATCGACTACATGGAGATGTGTAACACGGATGATTCTCCAATAAGTAATGCTGAATATTTCAGTAAATCAAGCGTGTTTGTGTTTGTCGGGTAGGCTCGTATTTGACAGTTTTGAACAGATTGACAACGATTGAGTTTTCGTCCAAACATGCAATTGGCCCGCTTCCTGGTTGCTTGGAAAATCATATCTAAGGGGAAAATCGAGCAGAGGGAGACCAGGATGATGTTGACAAGGTGCAGGATCCCAATATTATTTTGGTACACAAAAGCCTCCATTATCCGAGTGCACCTGACTCCATTTGGTGGCCTATTACGGCAAAAGAGGGAAATGACTCTCAAGAGGAATAACAGAGTATCCTCTAAACTTGGCTGGACTTTTTTGGTCACTGGCACCAACACATTTGTCATCACTGCCAAAACTTATCTTTAGGGTAAAACAAATGCAGTGATTTTGTCCACACAACATATTTTTATTCCAGCGTTGGTGTCTTGTTTGCCCGCCTGCTCTCTCACTGTTTGGCGATCGCTGATTCCTGTTTGCTCTTTAATGAGATTATCAGAAGAGGAGTGTCTGTAAGTAGGATCTAAAATGAAAGCCATTACGGAGCATTATCCAAGAGATGCAACCCCCGTGATCCATCTGTCGTACGGCCACCCGCACCGCCACCATGACGAGATTACAGCCGTGATTAGTGGCAGGAGGCTCCGTTCAATTCAAACAACTTTGGAGAACATGTGGCACTTCGCTGCATTGCTGAGCCGCAGCGTTTGAAACCACACCGTGTCGTGTTATTGTTTTGTTGGCTTTACATGTGTGGTCTATATCACTGTAATCAACGCTGTAAAACAGAAGTCGTCTTTCAGGTTCATTCCTCGCAAGAAAGTGGAAAGATGTCAGAGACTGAGGTCTTAAGGTCTTCATTGCGTACCTGTAATCTTGTCGCGGACCAGTTTGCAGGATTCAATCTCTCCGATGCTACCGAAGAGGCTGCGGAACTCCTCCTGGGTCATGTTCTGTGGCAGGTAGTTGACAATGAGGTTGGTCTTGCTGTCGTCGTTTGTCGGCCCGGTCTGCATGGGCGAGGGGCAGCCGCGGCTGTTAGTGGTTGGGCCGTTGGCTGTGTTGCCTCCTCCGCTTGGTCCGTTTGTCACCGGAGCCTCCATGTTACTGATGATCTGAGAGAGGCCAGGAGGAAGAGAGTGGGAAAAGACGAGCAGATGGACGTATTAGTCTAAATGATGTTTTTTAATGGGGTTGACCAATGCAATATGAAAACACATTTCAAATTGACTAAAGTTGTTTCTGTGCTAATATTTACCCCCAAAAAAAAAAAAAAATCTGAAATCCATTTGTGACATTGTCAAACCCAAGGCCCGGGGGCCAGATCTGGCCCGCCAGGTCAATTTATGTGGCCCGCGAAAGCAAATCACGTCTGTCAACGAGCTTAGATCTGTACCAAAATGGAAATTTATTTCAAAGATATAGCCAGAAATCCGACAAAATTGATACGTATCCCCATAGAATTTAAAGTCGAATAATTCTATTCAGTTCGATTTAATGCACTCGCGTGTTTGAAATCAAATCCAGTTGTCTAATTCAAATCACTTTTTGTTACAAACCTAGCCACTACCATGTTTTATTTCCATCTAAGAGTTACACATTCAACAACTGAAAAAAAAAATTCCACTGTTATCCTCGTTCCATTTTGTTTAAAAAAAAGTACCCCACTTTGGCAATTTATGCAGTAATCTAAACCAAACATGAAGATTCTCATTCAAAGGTGTATCAAGATCAAAGTATTCTACATTTTAGCAACTGGGGCACCCTTTTAGCCAAATACTGCATTAAACTGCTGCTGATGCTACTGCTGTGGCAGAAAAGTTCAGACTCTTCTTCTCAGGTTTTGAAGAGCTTCTCAGGATCAAAGTGTTCTCAAAGGAACTGTGAGCTTGCATAAGTGTGTGAAAATAAGCTAAAAAAAAGAAAAAAGAAGGGAGGAGTGAGAGTCAGAAATTGGAGGAGGAAGATGTAGGTTGCTTTCGCACCAGTGCCTTTTGATGTGTTTTTAAATAGACTTGTCACCTGTCATTAAATATTACTCTCCCAGAGTAATGGGTGGAGTCACATATTTGCATACGATTTGTAAATAAAGTGTGACTGACACTGAGGGAGAGGACTCGGGAAGACGCTTCACTCGACGAATAAGGGAGGCAGGGGTTCCCAAATTGAGGATCTTCGTACAGAATACGTCCATTTTAAATCAATACATCGTGAGGAAGTGACAGCCCATACAATTTAAAAATTGTTTCAATGCAATCTTTTGCGATTACCGAAAGCACCCATTCTGAACTCTCGTAAAAAATAATTGTGATACGTCATACCAAAACCAAAACTAAAACGCCATTCGGATTCAAACCTAGTGTTATCATCATAAGTGCGATGGCGCCCCTATTTACTCATTCAGACGTGCATCTATTTTTAACTATTCTGAAGTACGCACAGGCAGACTGAACTTAGAAGTACACAGTAAAAGAACCGCCCCCACTTTGTTTCTATTTCTGGAATAACTGCCCAAAAACCAAAAAAAAAACAAACAAAAACAAACAAACAAGTGTGCTAATTATATACCTAAAAACTGTGTCATCACTTTTCAATTAATTTACAAAGTTGTGGTGAACCGCAAACTCAAAGCTGCAGCATTTATCATACACACAAAATAACGATATATGACATTAAATACACTTTTGTAAAAGAGATACATGGACACGTAATAAAATATATCAAATATCAAATAAAATGGACTATTGTTCAAGTAACAATTCAAATTTGCTTCTGTTCTCCACAGATGTGACATTGACCTTGTATTTACTTCACTTTCATGAATTGCATTTAATTATATTCGCTACCATACGATTGTTTACATCCGATCAAGAAACTGCCTTTTCACAAAGATCTGACTAATGCTATTTATTTTCAATTAGCATGTTGCTCTCGACCGTACCACCATCCTCTCGTTAAGCAGTTACACGCACAAACAGACACACACTAAGGGCCTGCACTCATTCCCACGGTGAGGCATCTTCAGTTACAACACACAAACACACACCCACACACGCACGCACGCACACACACAGAACAGGAGAGAACAATGGGCTTGAAACCACAGCAAAAAGGGGGGAAAAAAAACAGACGGGGAAATGTCTAAAAGCTCTCAAGATGAGAGCTGCATGCAAATTGTTCTTTTGACAGTATCCTTCCCCGCTCGCCTCTCTACCACAACAAAGACAGCCACAGTGTGAGTGATGGTGTGTGTGTGTGTGTGTGTGTGTGTGTAAGTATTGGAGAAAGACAGAACGGTATGTGACCATAACACAGTTGACTGAAGAGGGCCTTATTATTAAATGTGTTTGCATTCCCCTGCTGGGCTGCTCCAGTCCATCTCTGCCTTTCAACTCCATGGGACACTTTGAGAAGTTTGGGCGCCACAATGGCTGCCTCTAATTAGCGGAGACCAGCAGAGCCCGAGTGGACATTTGTATGTCGCTGCATGTGTATGCCCACCAGCGTGTGTGCTCCTTAGCATGCCACTTTATGGAAGTAGTGAACACGCTGGCGGCTCCTCATCACCCACAGTGGAGCTCAGAAGTGTGGACAGAAGTCAATGTGCATCCTGCAGACTGAAGTATTCTCAGCTACCAGTCTTTTGCGGCGGCGTTTTCTACTCAAGCCACAATGCACAAAAAATAAAATACAGTCATACTAGTTATTTGCTCAACCAAACCCCTGTGGCGGACGGCAAAGGAAGGGCTGGGCGAATACGGAAAAAATAAAAATCCCAATTATTTGGAGTGAAACCAAAATCACGATTAATAAACATGATTATTCATTGAATTCCAAACTTTGTATTTATTTCAATGGATGAAAATCAACTTTAAATACATCCTAAAGGAACCAGAGAATAAATTAGTCACGAGTAAAGCCTTACTATATTAATATAATAGCATTAAAAAAAATAATAGATGCTCTTGCTGTGGGCGCATTGGCCTCTTAAGTGCTATGTGGTGCAGGGCAGGCATGGCGATGCACAACATTTACATTAAGATTAAAAAAAAAAAAGTAGAAGAAAGTTGTGATTTAACAAGGCGTTCACAGATTAGAAAGAATATATGGCTTTGACTCTTTTAATTCTTATATTACCTGTCTGTATCTGTTAATACAGCATGTGGGTCTGAATATTGCTCCCGGGACTCCAAACTAAGTTTCTATTAGCCAGTCAATGGAATTTCCCATTCGCTGCTAACATTCGCACTGGCAATGTCTTGTGTTTCAACATCCAATATGTGTAATTCCTTTTGTTGTGTGTTTCGTTTGTATCCAGTGTTTAGTTTGGGAATTTGCATACACAACTGGCGCCGTTCGGCACATGAATCGTGTTTCTTTGATTATCGTCATGTGAAGCCACAATTCAAATCACGATTAAATTTCTTTTAACTGCCCAACCCCGAGGCAGAAGGTAGTTTTGTGTTCCACCGACACACACGCTCCATCGCTCCGCTCATAGCGCTCATTCGATCACCAATTTAACAGTAGTGATGTTAGATTTGTGATTGACAGTGTGCTGGAATGGAGCGATAATGGCGGCGCCCAATGTCTGCTGTGGCTGCTTTGGCTCACGATAGTTTCGCTAACCCGGGACTAAACCAAACATCAAAACCGGTGGAATCGGTGAAAACAGCTCAATGGGATATTGTTAAAAATGTGCGTGTTTGAATGGGTTTTCGAGGGTTATTCCAGCTTCCATTCACATTCCCGAAACGTTCTTGTGTGGTTAATTGAAGAGACTGATTTGACTCGAGAGTAGGTGTGAATATGAGTGGTAATGCTACTTTGTTTATTTGTGAACTGTGATTGGCTGGCAATCAGTTCGGGGTGTACTCCACCCTTCAGCTCGGAAAAGCAAGGAAGTGAGCTCGGGAAAGCGCAGGAAAAAAATGGATGGGCAGATACAACAGTTGCCTGTGATGTACTATCGTCAAATACCCCAAGGACACAGAAAAACAGCACACTTCACACAACTGATTTTTATCTTGCTGAAATTAGCCTGTTTTCAGGTGTAGGAGCTAGGGGGCTGCATGTTGAGTTGAGACACAAGGCTATAAAAAGCGAGAGAGAACTGCTAAATCCACGCAAGTCACAAGCAAGGATTGCATTTTCCCTCAAGGAGTCAGCACTTGAGCCCCAAGCCGCAAAATGACACTTGTCAATTTGTGTGAGCATGCATCGGACAAATCGTCGAACACCATTCACAGTGTGTCAACAGCTTCACCGAGCAATCAATAATGTGCTGGTCATCAGTAGCTAACAATGTTAGCTAACACTAGTCTGTGGAGCCAACATGATTCAATGCAGCTCTGCTTACTTTTTGAAGTTGAAATACTGTAGTGTTTCAGATAGCGAAGTCTGACAGTGGCTTAAATAAAATTCAAATCTTTACACGATTTAGAAAGTTATATCTTGTTCTGAGAAATGTGGTGCTGATGTAGCCCATCTGTGATGACGTAATTTGCAAAAGTCAGGATTGCTCACAAACATGCTTAAAAATAGGCAGATTAAAGATTTGTGAATGGTTGGCCAAGTCCTCCAGAGACCCAAATATTTGTACACAAGCAGTTATAAGTCTAATTTAATATTTTCCCTGTAATAATGGGCACTAAGATACTTATTACGTAACATCACTCTAATGAATGGGCTCTTACAATGACATTGCTACGAGGGCTCTAGGAATCATAATATTATTACAGTGTTACAGTGACAAAAAAAAAACAAGCAAAAAAAACTTGATTAATTGGTTTTAGTGATTTCACCAATTAATCGGCCATCTCTAATACATCGGTTCTAATAATGCCAGTTTTATTATCAAGATAGTGTTCATTTAAATGAGTGAATTTGAACTGAGAAAGCAACAGATGTGAGCAGTACTGTTTTGCTTTTTACTCATCCCTTCACAGATGTCCTTTCATCCGTCCATCCATCCATCCATCTAAATGTCTCAGTCAACAGGATCACTACTGGCACAAAGTTGTCTAAACGCAATATCAGATCATATTACTTGATGGTTGCGCAAAATGCCCGGCCCATACATTTGTCTTGAGCAGTAGTCTCCTTACCATCTTTGGCTGTGTCAGCAATCCCTTCTCTGCCCAGCCCTGGAGCTGCGGGAGCTCTGCCTGACGCCACTGTGTCTCTGTCGACCCCTATGGAGCGGAGCACATGGAGGGAGGGAGGGATGCATAGCCCACCGTCAGCATCATTTACTCACTTTTCACTTTGTTTAGGGTAGCGTTTGTTGATGTTTGGATGGGAGGAAGCGGGAGGAAGGGAGAGGGAATGGCAGCTCACAAGTACTATGTAGTCATTCAACCGCTAAAATAAAAATGGCTCAGTAGAAAGGGTGGGAATAGTAAAAATGTATTGGGACACACGCACACACACACACACGCACGCACGCACGCACGCACGCGCGCGCACACCCACACACACACACACACACACACACACACACACATACACAGTCACAGTAAGTGAAAATGAAAATCATTTGAAGCGATAACAGCTTCCATTCTCCACGAAGACTCGCCACAAGAACTTGATTGGCGCACAGTCTCTGCCTGTGTTCATCCATTTGTTGTCCAAACAAATTAATCCGTCCATAAAAAAAAAAAACCAAAAAAACAAACATGAAATTGTTGATAATGTATTGGCAACCAGTCCCTGATTGATTATTTACAGATGAAATATGTGTGTAATAGCGTCGTCCCAATGGTATTCATTGCTGTGGTTTCAAGAAGCTCCACAGTGGCTGAAAAAAAACTAAAAAAACAAAAAAACACTAATTGTGTGTGTTGCAAACAGCAGATTGGAGTTGTCCTTGCAATGACCTTGGGTTTATGAGTTTATAATGAGGGTTTCCCTCTTGCTATCCGTGGGTAAACAAGCCTGCGGTTGAAGACACAGAAATGTCACAAATGAGCAGGAAGTCTGTTCAGCAGCTCTCGAAGAGCGAGGCGGGCGTGGGGGGGCCTTAATGCCTACAGCTATGGATGCCACTAGCAGCCAATTTAGCAGGAGAGGGGAAAGAGAGGTGGGATGACCTCTGCTTTCATTTACTCCTTCTGAGGGAAGAGGAGCGGGAGCGGGCGATCAGTTGGAAGGAAGAAGAAAGAGAAAAGGATGAGCAATGTGGAAGACACTTCCCATGCTTCAAAGAAGGGGAGCGATGAGGTCGACAAGAGAGAGAGAGAGAGAGAGAGAGAGAGAGTTAGAGAGAGAGAGAGATAGAATCTGTACTGCACGTGTCCTCTTGTCAATGTGTCTTGTAAACCTGGTTGAGAATGCGTAATGGAGCTTTAAATGAGAATGAAGTGTCAAAAGGAAGGAGGATCCACCAGAACAAATAGGTCAGTGGTTATCCAAGGTAACAGAGAGTATTGAGCCACCTTTGTTTTAGTCAAGTGAAGACCAAAAAAAAATGCGGTGTACAGTAAGACAGACTCATCGAAATGGTTTTGCAAGACATGAAAACCATTTCTACAATGAAACAAATGAGTGTGGCATTTGGACAGCGGAACCTCCAGTGTTGCTGGTCAATGTGCCATTTGTTTGTATGGGAAAAACAATTTCATTTGTCACTTGCAGGCAAGAATTATTTTTTTTTTTTTTAACATGGAAATCCAATACATAGCTTGGTGTGCGAAATATTGATCCACTCTCTGAATTTCTTAGCAGACAAAATCGTCAAAGAATCGACTGCTAGACATTCCTCTCTTGTGAATTTGCACTGTCGCGAGAATGAAAAGACTTAAAAATGGGGGGGGGGGGCGAGTACATGCCATGTTTAAAGAATATATTAGATAAATACTTTGTCGTACTAGTAGTTGAAAATATAACAGAACGTTTTGACATGTTGGGTCACATAAGTGATGTTATTCAAGACCAAATTGCCTTTGACAACAAACGACAACGCCTACAACAACGAACCAATCAATGGCCGACTAGCATGACAGGTTCAAGTCATACTACAAGCTACATACAGTTTTACTGCTTTAAATGTACACGTCTATAAGTGAATATTTTTTGTCTTTCTCTGTCAAAATGCCAGATTAGAAGCAAAATGTGTCGCATTAATCGCTTGATGCAAGCTGAGCTGAGGTCAAGCGCTACACCGAAGTCCGCTGAAGTTTCTCTCCATCTGCTGACTTCATGAATTAGTCCGAAGGGAAATTGTCTCCCAAAATTTCCATCAGTTTCCAAATTGTACAACATTAGCAGTGTACCGGAGGATCCACTGCCATATTTTGTTGCCTGTTGTTATTCGGGTGTATTCAAGAATGCGGAAACACATCAATCTGGGCTGCGCGTTTCTAGTCGCAAAGAACGAAACTCGACGATAGCTTGTTTGTTAGCTAGGTGGTTCAAAAGCCAAACTTTGCAACTACGGTGGAATTTTGTGGACATAGATCAAATCCAACAAGAATCACAAACCAAAACATGCACTAGAATGGCCAGAACACAAAGCCTATAGCAAACCCTGCATATTAACGTGACCATCTATTAAATATGACGCAGAAAAGCTACCCCGAAAGAATGAAACGTTTGACAGAGGGGAACATCAAAAGCATTTTTCACCCATTCCGCAAAGCTGTCGCTTCACATACGATGTCAGTGCGGCGAGGCGAGGCGTGGCGTGACAAGCAGACAAGTGCAGCGTCATCGCGGCGTCCGCACACGTGGTGATTGCATGTTAACAACCAGCAAGCAGGTGCATGTGAGCATCCGTTTGCAGCAGCATAATATCAGCCAGTGCACAATAGTCAATGCTCAACCAGTCGTTAAAACAAACAGTGCCTGGCGTAGAACACACACACACACACACACACACTTTTGCATGCTCTAACATCCATCATATTCACCCGCATCTCGCATTCATCCCATGCGTGCATCTTTGGATGAAATCTAAAATAAAGGTGCAATTTACATTCAGCAACCATTTTGATGGAAATCCGCTCATGGATACATTTTCAATTATTCAGGGAGTACATTTCAGCCTGTGCTCAGATGCTGGGAAAACCTATTATATAATCAATACACTCTATCGGGCCATTAATATTTGATGGCGCAAAAGTGCTTCCTGTCTCCTTGGACTCCTGGCTAGTGGTGTCTGGGTGCTGCAGTCTGCCTCCAGCTAGGGAAGCCAGTGCGCATTTGTATTTGTCTGGCTGTCCAAAATACTAATGGACCAAACTTATCTTTGTTTTACTGGTTTATGAATCCATTTTTTTTTCTAAAGTGCTCTTCTAATGTAATATTCTCCCATAACTATATTTTACTTAGAACAGTTATGTGAACAATCTCCAAAGTCGTCTCATCTCATTTTGACCTTTGTCACGCCACTGCGGCTTTCACAGCATAAAGCTGCTTGGCAGCTACAAAATGGAGCCAGGGTGCAACCATCTGACTCGCGAGGATTTTTGTCTCACCATCTTGCGTTTGATAGTGCCATTTCCTTATGCTGCACAACAGTTTTGTATAGGAGCAGACTCCACAAACATGCATGGTGCACGTTTGTGTGGAATTTAGAATGGTGATATTTTCAAACTGGTCGGGCAATTTCCACTGGTACAATTTACTAATCTTTCAAGTTACAAGCTGTTGATAGGACTTTTTTTCCCCACCAAAAACTCAACTCAACTCAACTTGATTTATATCAAGCTTTCACAACAGCCACAGCCATAACAAAACACAAAACACAAAACAATAATACACTCACGTAGCCACACCCTTTAAAATGGTGCTGAATAATTCATCACATTCCGTCGACATTGCAGTCTGACTCATTCATATTTGATTTTTTTTTGTTTTTAACATTTATATTTTATTTATTTCCTTATTTATATAGGCTCAAATAATTTCCGGTGCTTAAGAAGTGCAGCCCACATCATGTGCATTTTTGTTGTCATTTGACTGAAGACTTACTCACTTATGTTTTATGCCACACTTTGGTTGGGTAGAAATTTGTGAAAATGTAATAAACTGAAAGAGACCGCAAGTCAACAGTTCGAACTGAAGTCGGTAAGGAAAGTGTCTTTCATATTAATTCATGAATCATTTGCCTTCCTTTTAGCATAGGCTTGACCTATGAAACCTTCAAAAATAATATCGGAATAATTATAAGAAATAATAATGATATTGATATTTTGTATTGCAATTCACATTAATTCATTCCCTGTTTTTGTGGAAAATACAATGGCATATTCACCCTTTCAGGGACAGAGGTTACTACAGTGGACAGGGTGCATGAAAGGGTTAAATTGCACTCGCAATATTGAGGGAAATATTAGATTTTTTTTTTTTCTAAATCATTCTGCCCTAACCTATGCTAAAACCCGAGCATTACCACGCGTTTGTTTTTATGATTCACTATATGATGCTATGCGGCACGCTGTTTTGAACTTGGGCTCAACTTGATTCACAGTATACATTGTCTATGTTTGCAAGTTCCTATCATCGTAGAAACAAAGACATTAGAACAAGGGCCACCACAGCACCAGAGACAGCTCCCGAATATGCTCTTCTATGCATTCGGTTGTATTTATGTTTATTTTATGCCTTCTTTCATATAACTTGACCAGCGTCATGTGAGCTTGAAAATGTCCTGCAGGTCAGACAGATGCTGGACTGGATCAATTGGCGAAAGTAATGTGGGATACGCAAAACACACTTACACACACGCGCCACGCGCGCGCGCACGCACACACACATACACGAGCCTGTTCCTTTGTTGCACTCTCACCAGCCTGCCTCCAGTCTCATCGATCAGCATCTACTTTACCAAATGGATTCTTCTCCGCCGCCTCTCTTCAATCCATGTGACTTGGAATAATAAATGTTGCGGCAGACGCGAGATGTGTATCTAAGCAATTTTCCATTTAACTTTGGCTCGACTCCCACTGTCGTTTTTCTTCTTTCTTGTGACGATTCAGGCTTTCAGTGAGATCGATGCCGCTTTCCAACACCCCCTCACAGCTCCTGGGTAATCAGCACATACTTGCATAGGGTCAGAGGTCACACCATGACAGGATGCAGCAGATTGCCCATGGGGTCTAACAGACAGGGTCTCTATCAATAGCTCGTTTGCTTTGCGCAAGATTTGTATTCGCGGCATTACGATGGAGAATGAGGGTCACAAAAATTAATT